AGCCTGGGTCAAAGAAACTTTGTTTTCAATGGGCAAGAGTTATTTCAGAGACTTATAACTGGTCAAATACTAAGAACAGTTGACTGTTTACTTCACAGAGCATAATGGGAATTCCATATTCCCACATCTAAATCACAGGGAACATTACAGAAGAGGAGGTAAAAAATTTTAAGATCTGGAGGATGAAAAGGGGACACATGTAAGACTTTTGCTATATGACAGGGCAGTTGGAATTATGAACACACAATGGCCTGGCTACCTGGCCTAAACCTGCCCTAAATCATACACAAAATATGAGGTAGGCTAGTGGGAAGAAAACACAGCTAACCAGGGATGAGAGAGAGGGTGAAGACGGGGTAATGGTGGGTGATTAAACCTATGCAATGATTAAATATCAGTATTTATTAATTATAAGTATTAAACAAAATTTAAACCAACAGAATTTAAGGGGGATACCAATGCCTAGTTAGAGGCAAATCTCCTTTTATCATCTATATAAACAACTAATTAGAAAAGCCTTATACTTTGTTATTGTTCTATTTATTTAATTAAAACCAGATAGCAAATAAAAACACTTTAAAAAAAAAAATGAAGAAAACAAGCCAGGTGGTGGTGGCACACACCTTTAATTTCAGCACTCAGGAGGCAGAGCCAGGTGGATCTCGAGGTCAGCCTGGTCTACAGAGTGAGATCCAGGACAGGCACCAAAAACTACACAGAAAAACTCTGTCTCGAAAAAAAAACAATAAAAGAAACCCCAAAACAAAACAAACAAAAAAAAAAATGAAAAAAAAAGAAAAAAAAGTAACCAAGCAGAAGAGACCTCTTAAATGAAAATCTGAATTCACTGAAGAAATTAAGAATGACACAAGAAGGTGGGAAAATCGTGCATCCACATGGAATAGGGCATATTATTGCAAAATTATCAGTGTTAAAAGATGTATATGATTAACTCAAAATCTATGACAATTGAGCTCCCCATGATTTACTTCATAGGTACAATGAAGAGAATCCTACAAATGTACAGGGAAGCACAAAGACCCTAAGAGTGGAGAGTAAGCCCAGACACACAGAGCACAGCTTCAGTCATCTGAGCTGTGATTTCTGATGACACTAAAGACCCACAGGAACAAGAGCAACTTGGGAATGGCAGAACAGACATACAACACAATAAGAAGAAAAGAAACAGAACCAGGCCAAGCAGGTGAATTTCACCAAAATGGCAAAAACATATGCTACAGAATAGACAGCCTCATCAACAAATGGTGTTGAGAAAAGTGAATATCCACATATAAAAGAATGAAAGGGTCCAGTGAATTCCAATTCACAATTCTAGTGAATTGTGAAGCCTGCAAAGTAGCACAAGGGGAAATAAATCCATATACAGTTTCTAAATGGCACTACAAATTAACAGAACACAAGAGCAAGAAGCAGCAAACAGGATTGCATGCAATTAAAAACTTGCACGGAAATGGTAACAGCTAAAAGTATGAAGAAACAGCCTACAGAATGGAGAAATTTGTTAGCAAACTTTTAATAGCACAATACAAAAACACACAGATTTTCATCAAGAATTAAAAAAAATGCAAAGCAAATAAATATTGCAATCAATAAATAAGCAAAAAAAGAGCACGTTCAAAGTAACTAAAACAGCCAAAATGTCCATAGTACATGCTTCACACTTTTAGTCATGAAGAAAATGCTCATCTATTATACACTGAGATCTCGTCTCTGCTTAGTCAGTGTGTACACTCAGGGTCCCAAACAATAACAAACCCTGGAGAAAATGCAGGAGAAAGAACACACAGTCTCAGTGCGAATTCAACTCACTGCAGCCACCAGGGAAGTCAGTGTTGCAGCTTCCTGAACAACCAAACAAGCAAAAATAGAAAACACAGAGAAGATACTAATCAAGTTGATGAAGGAATTAAATATGCTGCAAAATAACAACAATATAGAAAGGAACTCAGAAAGAGACATAAGAAATAAAGAAAAATTAACAAAATGATTTGTTTTTATATTATCCTTCAGTGATTTCTTGAAATGTATGTGGACACTGTTCCTCAAATCAAACATAAATATAGGATACAGCTTCAGGAATATATCATAAGAACTCAGCTGGTTATGGCAAAGTCACTACCTGGAGGGATCAGGGAATTCCTCCAGAGGAAGCCAAATCCCAAAAAGCTTTTGGTGTTAGTTGGCTTGTTATATATCAGCTGTCTTCATCATGCATGCCTTCATAGTTTTCCCAATTGACTTTTCCCTAAGAAGGGCTAACAATGTGGACTGATCACTCTCTGGACCCACACATTCCAGGCATTTGGAGAACAGCCTCAGGAAAGGCTTTCTCTGGAATCAGATAGCTCCCTTGGCCACTTTCAAGGACTAGCAGTAACAACAGTCCACATGAAAGTCTCCTGATTTAAGGCAAATTCCACAAGGAGACACTACCTAGGTCAGGTGGATGTTAAGTAATAGCTTTACACAATTTAGCTCGGACCCTCCATTCTTACAGCCTTACTAACTTTATAGACTTTTAACTCCTTACCTAATCACTTCTAGGAATATTTAGATAACTCTCTGTGCTGACAGCTATGCTCAGCCAGAACCCCAGTTCAAGCCTCCCTGTAATTATCATCATTGGCAGCATCCGGCCAGGTCCATCCCCAGATCGAGGAAAGTACCTTATCAGAGATACTTCTGTACTCTCTAAGAACAGACTTAAGCATCCAGGCTACCTGTTTGAGAAGGCCTGGTGGATGTGCCAATTAAGCTTAACTTCCTCCTTTCCCAAACTTTACCTCTAGTTCCAGATCTCCCTTTAACTATCACCAGAGGCATCTAGCTGTACACAGGTTGCCTAGCGACTGAGCACACTTTCCCCCACTCTACAGAAAAACGGCAGATAGCTTGGACAGATAGGAGTCACAGGAAAAAAGAAGACAGTTTTATTTTCTCCCATTGGCCTAGCAACTTATAGATCTTAACATTTTCTACCAATCATGTTTAAGTTTATAGTTGAGCACATAAGAGCCCTCTTCTTAGATATTACCTGAATCTAGCCTTTAGTTAATTCATTTCCCCATTGGTCACTTACCTTTGGGGTTGCAAATGATAATTAATGGTTATTGCCTCTCTATGTGATTCTTATCACCCCTCCATTTGACCCTGGGAGCCTGGCTTTGCACAGTTAAGGGATTACTGCTTGTAAGTGTATATATACCAGGACTTCCAGGGCACAGGAGGACAGAGAAGAGAAAAGAGAATGGAAGAACTAGATGGGTAAGAACTTGAGAGGAACAACCTGAGATGGGGAAGAACTAGATTGAAGGGCTAGAAGAGAGTACTAGAGGAACATGATGGAAGATGAGGAAGAGTCAGATGGGGAAATACTAGCTAGGTAAGAACAAAATGAAAAGGACCTAGTTGAGGCAGAATTAAGATGAGAGAATTAAGATAGAACTTAGAGGGAGCAATAGATAGAGAAATCAGGCAAGACAGGAGCTAGGCACGAGAACAGAACTGAAACTGTGTATAAAGGATGTTATGCCAGAGGAATTAAAGCAAGTGGACTAAGAAGTCGGTGTGCTGAGATTCTATTTCCTGAAAATAGTCCTCGACGTTAGTAGTTCTCTCTCCTGAGCCCCTGGGCTGTATAATAATTAAGGCTAGTCCCACTAATATTATACAAGAATATTCTATGAAAGTACTTCCTTCAAATATAAGGATACAAAATGCTAAGAGTGAGGGAAGTTTTTTAATAAGATATGCTGTGATGAGGGTTGGTCATAATAATGGTAGATAAAAGAAAAAGCCAAATCTATCAACATAGAAAACAAAAATTTTAACAAATGATCAAATGGTCCATTTTCCAGGAAGTTATGTGATCAATATAAATGCATTTCACATAACAGTTTCCAAATACATGAAGCAATCAATGGCAGAATTGTAGGAAGCAAGTAAGACAGTGAAGCAGGGAAGTTTCAACATCCTTCATTGGGTGATGTTGGAAAAGAGACAGAACATTAGTGAGAAAAACCATGAACAGCACAGAAAACCAGTAACGTCTAGCAGGCCTCCAGAGAATCATCCACACAACAGCAGAAGACGCCCAGTCTTCTAACTTCAAGCAGCATGCTCCAGTGTAACCATGTCTTAGAAATAGAACAAGTCTTCAAACCTAGTAAAGATCAATGACTAAAAAGTATCTTCTCCAAGAACTTGCAACGCTGATATCAACAGTAAAAAAGTATACATAAAAGATAAGTGAATACTGACTCACTGATAGTATGTTCTCATTCAAACACAGGAAGAAATATAAAAGAACGTTTGTGTTCTGTAAAGGCTCCAAGTAATTTGTGCCAAGCTCATATAGGCATTTTTCACAGGAATAGAGAAATTGTGAGAAACAACTTCAAAAATTATGAGAGAAGGACCAAATTCAGAGGTGATTTCAAAATATATAGAAGTTATAGCAATGCAAACCATTGAGAGTTGACATGAAGACAGAAGACAGGGAATATCAATGGACAGACAATGCAGTCAGAGTTTCATACTCTGCAGAGATACTAAGCAAATCTTACCAAAATCCTGCTGGCATTATTTTAGGAAATGGAGAAAGTAACCCTAAGACAACAGAACCTGAAGGAGCTATAAAATGCTCCAAAAATTGAGAACAGGAAAAACCAAGAGGCATCAATGGTTCTAACTAAACATTATATTCAAATTATAGTAATGAAAATCTTTAATATTGGTATAAAGGCACGATCAGTGATGTGAATGAAAGAGGGACAATAAAATTTGATTTGCCTTTGAGTCTTTCATTAGATAGTCTTCTAATGCCTACAATACGATAATCCTGAGATTATCCTCAGTGGAATACTCTAGAATCAATTCAAATGAAATAGAATGTGGCAAAACCAATTTAATGCTCTGTTTCCACTGTCATTTGAGCCTCTCGCTATCCCTTCACCCCCTCCTCAATCCCTCTTACACACCAGGATCCTTTGCTACTGTCTCTTCTCTCTTCTCCATCTAGGGCTCATTGTTCTGATTCGCAGGTGAGCAGATCTGGCTGAGCACTGGGGAGACCTGCATTTAGGAAAGAGATTCTTCAGAAAGTACCTGGAAATTTCCATGGAACAAACATGAAGGATGCCGACGCTTGCAAAAGGATAAACATGAGGGAGAGAGAAAAGATCAGGATAAATGTCTCTCTTTCTCCGAGGATTTCACTTTACTCTGTGAGATGTGAGACTCATTCACTCACAGCTCACACACGTCACAGTAGTTTTCTCAGATACCCTGAGCAGGAGAAACGGAGACTGCAAGAAAACTTTCTTACCCACAGAAACCAGACTGTTGTACTTTGCCAACAGGAGATCTTTGTAAAGAGCCCTGTGAGCAGGGTTGAGGCATTCCAATTCCTCCTGCAAGAAGTAAGTTCACAGTCACAGCACTGAATGTCAACAAACCTTGAAATAAAAAAACAAGTTTGGCTACGTGTGCACAGACAGAGGGCTTTTCTTGAACCAAGGAGACATTTTTCTGATCTAGGTAAGTGATCATAATAATTCAAAGAGTGCTTTCTAATTTTGTTTTCATTCACAGTGAGTTTCCCAACTATAAAAAGAGTGTGGGCTGATATCCATTCACAGCATCCATAAAGTGCTTGCTTGGACCTAAGGTATTACATTAATATCTAAACATAGGAAGATACATTTCTGAATGCTGCATGTACATCATAGAGTGCATAGATTTCAGATGGAAAATTAATGGGGAGTAAAAGTTTTCTTAGTAAAAGTTAATGTTCACAACCATAACTGCAGCACTTGTTAAAGTATTGTTATGGGTAGCCCAACAGAGATTAGCATTCAAACAGTTTATAGCCAACTCAAAGTCTTTATTCCAGCCAGCAGAGACCACACTCAAGTGTTCAGGGTCCTAGGCAAGGCTCCAAGTATCCAGAACATGGAATTTTTAAGAGCAGAGACCTCGGTCCAGGAGTCTTGCTTGGAAGTTGCAGGGGAAGTTTTTAACAGAAGCAAGCAGTTTTTAACAGAATCTAAGAGAGGATGTTAGCCTGCCTGAGGCGGGGTTCCTGCACACACAGGCATCTAGGATAAAAGGTTAGCTGGGGTAGGTTCTCCACAAAAAAGCAGTTTTAACAAAGGCTAAGTAAGATAGATTAGCTAGGACATCCTGACCTTTGGTTTCTAGAACAGAGTTGGGTATTTTTCCATGTGATTCTCCATCAAGGAAATCAGACTCTAGTTAACCCTGGAAACAGCCTCAGCAAGAATACAAGATGGAGGAACTCCTGCACTGTCTTGTCCTGTCACGGTGTATTTTCTGATTCAATCAAATCTGCACTGGTTCCTCAAGTGGCTAATATCTACAAAGCTCTTTGGGTGCCTAGTCCCAGGGAAAGCATGCATGAATTTAAATTCCAGGAGCTTTGTAAATAGAAAAAAGAACGGTGTTTGCAGACAGCACATAATGCAAGCATAAAGCTCTACCAGGTTACTTTGTGAAAATACTATACAATCATAAGATAAATGAAAAATTCACGATTAAGTCCCAGTTCATAGGATCTCAAACTTCCCGACAATGGTAAGGTATCAGCGACAGAATTGTGAGAACGGCGTCCTTAAGAGCAGCATCAGCGAGCACACCCCTGCTCCATTCCCGCAGGTCCCAGCCCCGCAGCTCCTCTGACCTGGGAGGTTCCAGGGCCGCCGGGCTGCGGTTCCCGCCGCTGCGCTGCTGACTGGTGACTTTGCCAGGACACCCCACGTGGCACCTGTGGCTACCGGGAGTTTTCAGGTCCTCCGAGAGAAGCGACTGTCCTCCACCCCGGAATCCCGACCACTGAGCTCTCCCAGGTCCCACAGTGAATGGTGGAATTTCCTGTCACTCTGGCCTGGGTCCTGAGAGTGTCTCCCTGGCCCCGCCCACTACACGCCGGTTCCGGTTACGTGGTTCCTTTAGGTCCGCCCATGCCAGGCGCTTTCCCTTTCTTAATTAGTTTCCAAATTAGTTTTCCAAGTCCATCGAAGTTTTTTCTTTTACCCTCTCTCCTCTAATCGGGTGAATGCCCCCGCTCTGCCGAGACCCGTCCCTCCCACTCGGTCTCAGGCTGCCTTCCTGCTGTCAGGCTGCCCTGGACCCGCTCTGCACAGCCTCCCCACATGCTTGCTGCCAGCCTAGACCAGAACTGGGTCTAGGAGGACGTTGCACCCCCGTATCTGACCTCCACCCTGGGTTCTGACCCTTTCGGATACAAGTTTTCCTTCCTAACTTCTCATCTTGGGGTAGCAGCCTCCTGGTTTAAAAATGCACAGCAAAAGATAACACCCTAATTCTGGTGATCAGGTCCCATTCCCAAAACAAAACGAAGACAAAATGCCCTTGACTCAAATCTCAGATCCTAGCTGTATCCCTTAAGAAAAGCACTTTAAATGATATCCATGACACAGAACTGAAAAACCAGAGTCATGTTCAAGGAGGTCAAAGCATATAGAGCACGTTAATGAACTCAAAGAGGTAAGTATAAAATGATCGATGGGCAAGAAAACAGCAAATGCCTGAAAGAAAAGAGGACAATGCAAGATATGAAAAGTAAATTCAATAAATAGCTAGAAACACTGAAAAAAAAAACCAAAATAAAATGAAACAGGAAATGGAGAATGCAATAAGCCTAATAATAAAATAAATCAAATAGGAGACAGTATCAGGTTTGAAGACCAAATAGAGGAGCCAGATGTCTCAATCAAAGAAAACAAAGAATTAAAATAAAATGCTCCATACAAGTAGCACTATTTAAGGTAAAAGTGAAACCCAGCTGCATACCCTACTCTTATATAAAAAGTATTCTATATTTTAAACACAGAAACTCACCCTAGAGAGCTTTACTGGGAAGCTGGATAATCATTTTCATCATTATACAAATGAATGACTCTAATAAGCCATCTTTATCCTTCCTTCACAGACCTCCACTATTATCAGGCAATTATCTGGAATTACACTATTAGCAATAATGACTTGGGGGAAGACATTTCAGGAGCTCATTATTTTGAGAGGAAATGGGTGTCTCAGGAAATCAGTGGTCACTCAATCCTTTTACAGCCTAGTGCTGAATTCACCCTGTGCTGCACTCCTGTAACTGCTAGATGGTGGCATTGCCATTTTGCTAACTCTCAAGGAGCTTTGTCTTCCAGGAATCATTTAAAAGCTGTTTTTACATAAAACATAGGAAATTTATTTAAAAAAAAATGCAGAAACCCGTTGCTGTCCCAGATGCAGAAAATAAATAATGTATATGGCCACAGCCCTAAACAAGTCAGCTACACCATCCCATCTTCCGAGAACACTGAGGAAGAGGTGGTGGGAAGGAAATAAGAAGGGGAAGAGGGGGGATGGGCATGAACTGCCATTCTCCAGACTCCACACAACTAGAGTAATCAGTAACCCAGAGCAGCAGTCTTACCTACACTGCCCACACTCAAGACCTGCCTTAGTCACAATCAGTCTAGGAAGGGCAGAGACTCACAGGACCCCTCCCTTTAGCTCTCAACTGTGGTTATGGATAGACTTTAGGAGAAGGGGAATCACTGTCTTTGCTTGTGTCTCCTCTGAGAAACTACCAAGCTCCAATACATAGCACCAAACCCACATCCTCACAGATGGCCCTGGTTAATTTCGATGGGTCAAAAAAACCAAAATGAATAGAAATGAATATGAGAGAGAGAGGTAGTGAAGAGGACACACACACACACACACACACACACACACACACACACACACACACACACACAGAGGGGGGGGGATGGGGAGAGAGAATTATTGGAAGAATGGTCCGGGATTGTAGGGAGTCAGGGATGAGAGTGCACTGAAAGTGAGGTATATCATGTGAAAAGGAAAAAAAAAATAATAAAAATGACCACATCAGTCTGTACTTTCATTTTTGTGGGGAATCAGGTAATACCAGCTTCATTAAGAGTCTGGAAGCCTCACTTTCCTTTTAAATCAAGGAATATTTTAAGTAGCTTCAGTATCAGTTATTCTCTGAAGTTTTGACAGACTTCTGTGATGAATCAATCTTCTTCTTGGTGATTCTTTTTCTTTTCTTTTTCTCTTCTTTTTTTTATTGAATGGGGGTACATTTATTATTGCCTCACTGTTGTTGCTGCTTGATTATCAGTTTATTTATTTCAATGTTGATGTAATTTTGGCATATGGTATGAATCAGATTATTTGTCCATTTCTTTTGGAGTTTCCAATGTAGTTTCCTGGAGGTGTTTAAAGTCAGTGGACATCAGATACACTTGTACACTTGTGTCTATTGATTAGGATGTGCAGTTAGTTTGGGTACTTCTCAGGTCATGTTGACAAAAATAATTCTGTATACACAGATTTCAGGGAGATGCAGACTAAATCTCCCTTAAGATTCCATTTCATCACAGTCAGAATAGCCATCATCAGGAAAAATAAATTCTAACATGAATGTGAGCAAAGGGATAGTATTATACACTGCTTATGGGAGTGTAAATTAGAGCAGCAACTTTGGAAAATGGTCTAGATTTTTCTCAAAAAAACTAGAAGTAAAACTACTGTATATACTACACTGTTCGGTCTCTTGATTGTTCTCTACAATTCTCTGTATACACCCAAGCTGAGGAAAAGAGACCCTAGAATTATCCAAGTTCCTTTAGGGATTCTAGCTAAGAAATAGATTTGTCATAATTATAATGAAGACCATGTTTCTCTGGTGTGTTCTGAGGCTCAAGCTGTACAGTCATGAGTGTGACAGTAAAAAGGTATCCCAGCTCTAGAGGGGGTGAAAGCTCAGGAAAACAAACTCAGAATTAAAGCCCTGTCTTTAAAGCACAGGGTTGTGAGCGAGTTCAGTTTTCAGATGATATGGCTACTTGTTTTACATTGTTGTAAGTTTATTGTTTCTCTGTGTATGAAAAGGAAGAAAGAAAGAAAAAAGACATCACTAGCTAATAGTATATGTGCTGCCGAAGTGAGCACGGTCACCAGCTAATAGATTCTGCACATGTGCATGGATTAAACACATTAGTGATTAACTCCAGATCACCAGTAATACCTCCAAGTTGAGTTAAGGAAAGAAATGAAAGCTTTTAACTAAGAGTCCATATCTGAATTCTTTACTTCATACTCCCTGTATCTTGTTAGGGACAGACAGAGTACACAGACAGACTGACACACAGAGACAGATTCACAAGACAGCCTTCCAGAAGGCACAGTTTGAGACTCATGCAACAGACAGCAGAGGTCAGAAGACACAGAAAGCATGAAGGAGAGAGCAAAATCTGGACTTCCTCTTGATTAAATGACTCCAATGGTGAGGTGTTTATTTCTTTCCTTGACATTGATTCTTTATCGATGACTGTGGAGGGGCCCCAAAACAGCTTGACCACACAGCCATCACCATGACAGGCTTGGAGGCCCACACACAGCTTCTGTGACAGGCTTACTGGCAGGCAACACCCAGGTCCAGGAAAAGCCTTAAGCTTAACACCACCCAGGGATCCACTCAGGGATGGGGAAGTACCTAACATCCCAAACATTGCAACCATTAGATAAGGTGGCCAGATGAGTCTAGCACACACCTCTTTTTGTCTTACAGATACCCCTAGACAATTGTCAGTCAATCAGAGTCCTAAACCCTGGAAATCCCCTCACCCCAACCTCTGCTGTGATAAAAAACCCTACCCTGCCTGGGCTCTGGGCTCTTTGTTCTCACCACTGTGTTGGACAGACAGAGAGACCAAGCTCGGAGCTTGAAGAGAATAAAGGTTGTTTGCTTTTACATGTGGAATTCGGTCTCTGTGGTGGTCTTTTGGGGGGGTCTCCACGATCTGGGCATAACAATGACTTGGAGTTAATCACTAATGCATATAATCTGCATGCATATGCATATACTTATGTAACACTGTTAAATGAAAAAAGAGGCCTTGAATTTGAAAGAGAGCAAGAAGGAGTATATGGGAAGGCTTGGAGGGAAGAAGGGAAAGGAAGAAATGATTTAGTTATTTTATAATCTCAAAATGTAAAAGAAATAATTCTGTAAAAAGAAATGAAGATATTGCTGCCAAAAATAGAGTTTCTGAGAGCAGTTTAAATCACAATTAACAAAATTAGCCTATTGTTACATTTATAAGCTATGTATATTTTAATTATATCAAGCCTAGTAATTATGAAAAATGGTCTCTGCAAACAGACTTATCCTAAAATTTTAAGTTTGCGTATCATAAAGCAGTTTAGAAATTTTTTAGTCATATAATAAAAGTATGTCTTAATAATTGACTCACCCTTTAAATGTATAAACTAGGTTATTTTTTCATAAGGCAGTAAAGATGCTTTAAAGTATATTTATTTTATATGTATGAGTGTTTTGGCTGCATATGTGTGAATTCACCACATGCTCACAGTGCCTCAGAGAGCAGAGCATTGAATCCCTTGTAATTGGAGTTACAGACAGTTGTGAGCCACCCTGTGGGTGCTGAGACCAAATCTGGGTCCTCTGTAAGAGCCACAAGTGTTTTTAACTGCTGAGCCATCTCTCCAGTCCTGATAGAGACCAACTAGATTAATCTCTCATTGGCTAGGATTAAGGTAATAAATCCATGGTGAAATAAATGAGAGGAGAGATCTCCTCAATACATTTTCCCCCACATCACCAATGGCTCACAGCAAATGGCCAAATGAAACAACTTCCACATTGTCATAGCATGCTCTATTATGCTGATACATATAGTATTCATTTCTGTAGTATTGTAGTATGATTGCTACAAACAGTACAGCAACTATTCCTCCCCAAACAAACATTAAATGGGGCATTATCATTATATTGAGTAAAATAGGTTATATGAAGATAGACAAATATTACA